TTAATTAGTATCTTTTTGCAAGTTTTAAGATTATGTGATTAAAAGTCTCTCTGATTATTAGTTCAATTTAATGTAATGAAAATAATGTTAGCTTGTCTATTTATTATTTTACCTAAATCTATTTTCTTTTATATATATGTATATAAAAGCTTAAAATTTATTGAATATTTCTTTTGCATTTATTCGCTAATAATTTGTATACATTTCATTAATACTTCAATATTTAAAAAAAAGTTCTTTAATTTGATAACTCATCAAGTTCAAAATAAAATTATTGAGTTAAATGTTTTTGAAAAATTTAACTTCTCCATTGCTTTATATGTTTGTTTAAGTTTACTCAGATGGTAGTAGAATCAGAAAAAGTTATGAATTATTTCTTAAACCTACCTTCTTTTTTATTTAAGAAATATTGGATCAGAATCTCCAACAACTAATTAATAGTTTCACTTATTGTACTTTTAGAAATAAACATTTTTATTTGCCCTTACTGGTCATAATAAACTTTATAAGTTATACTGTTTTAATTAAATACTACTCACAGTTACAGTGAAATTTATGGTGAATCTTTAATAGTGTGTCAACATTATTTTGAAAGTACCAATTTTGTACTACCTAACAATTTTAATTTTAGACTATCTCATACACAGGTGATTCCTCTCCTTATAAAATTCATTATTCATACAATTGAAACTTGAAAAACAAAATATGTCACTATGTACTATATCTAGTATAATTTTCATTGTAAATTAACTCTATTCTTTGATGTTTTTAGGAATTTGAAAGTATAATAGAATTCAATAGACTAATTGAAAATTTACTTAATATACTGTCATTTTCTACCATTTTAAATTTTATGAATAAGTCAAAACAAATACTCTTGCTTTAGAAGTTTCTCAAACTGGATGCCACACTTGTATGCCATAGGTGCCGAGGAATAGTATTTGATTTTATTATTAAAGATCAAAATTGTCATTTGGTACACACAGCATTTGGTGATTACAAAATTTAAATATTTATAACTTCATATTTATCAAAACAAAATGAAAATGTTGAAAAAGGTTTTTAGTCCAAGGATGCTAAAAAACGTTTTATAAAACTTTCTAGAATTACTGCCCTAAGCTATTTTATCTAACCATTTATGGTAGTAATAATGTGTTTCATTCAATTTTTTTCATCCTCAATTTTAACCAAATCATATCACATTAATTTTTTTGTCTATTGTTACCTCATTTCAGTAATAGTTAATGTGTTTTTTTGGTTTGTAACTTTCTTCTAAATTTTTGATATTTTCTTTTAGTATTAAGAATTTGTTTTTAAAGTAAAACATGGTAATATTGGATATTATTTTAGAGACTATATTAGTCCAACTTGATATACTTAATTCGTACTGTTAAAAGTATTTGTTTATTAGTATCATATTTTAATGTGATTTGTAGTCAATATTGACAATATTTATTGTTAATTAGCATTTAAATTTAATCACATCACTGTCCACCTAATTTGAAAAAAATGATTAATATATTTGAACTTATTTAACAGTAGAAGTATATTCAGTTTTATTAACTGTAGCTGGAAATAATTTTGTTGAGATTTGTTTCATAATAGAAATGTGATTAAAGAGTTAGCTAATTATGTTAATTTGCATTAAAATAAAAAGTTGTCCTGTTTTGTTATAGTTTTAATGTTAGTGCATAGAATTTATTTTGAATTTGATGATTATATGTTTTAATCAATTTAACTACAGGCAGTTGAATAAAAGAATACAGGCAATTCTTACAGGTAGCTTTACTGCATTACCTTTCTCGTCTTTTAAGCCTAAGACTGTGTACGTTTGTTTGCCACCCTAATTAGAAAATGAAAAACTATCACAATTTTTCAAAAGAATTTAATTAAAATAATAAATTTGTAAAGTACTACTGGCAATCCGTTGGTTTTTAAGAATAAAATGGAGTTTTAAGTTAAGTGTTTTTGAAGGAAAGTAGGTATAAATGAAGGAAATGAGCTTGGTGGTCACTTTTTCACCCATATTCTTTAGTTTGACAAACTTTAGATGCTACAATGTGTTCTAAGTATGTAGTGACACTATTATATTATGAATAACCTTGTTTATTGTCTCTGATATTAAATGGCTTGTCATTTTACTTTTCCTTTGTTTTGTTAGTTAGGTATATTAATCTTTTTAAAAATTTAATCTAGTCATTAGGTTTTTGCAATTATTTATCGAAGTTTAAATGTCTGTTATTAGATAAAAGAACTAGTAATTTTGAACAAGTGTTTTAATTTATTTTTGGAAATTTGAATGATATAAGTTTGTACTAATGTATTGATTAAATCAATTTTAAATAAAATAATTGTTAAGTGGCATCAATTTAGTTAATTTTAGAATGTTTTGCATTAATATAGAATCCTATTGAAGAAATTGTCAAATAAATGGATACCAAAAATGTTTAAATGCTCATACTACTTACTTGAACTATAAAGTATTTCATGTCAGAAGATATCAAGTTTTAACATTTTGATATATGTATTTATATTTTTTTTTTTATTATTTAGACTATTTAAATTTATTATGTGTGTTTTTTAACCCAAATTTCTAAAAATTGTTTGTTAAAGACAGCTTTAACAATACAAATTTGTTGTACAATTTTGAAAAGGCGTTTACTGTGTCTTCTTAATTTTATGAAATTGTTACCTTTCTAACAATGTAATTTTGTTATTCTCATGTAATTTTTAATCATGTTATCTATACTGTTTAATTGTTACTAATTATGTATCTATAACATTAAATTTTTAATGTATAGGTTGTGCATAAGATTTAGTACATTGTACTACAAAATTTGACAATAAATTTGAAATCTAATTTTTAAAGACACTAGTAATTTGATTTCCTGGTACTTGTTAACCTCCAATTTTAGATGTATTAACATAAAAACTAATTTTCATTTCATTGGTGATTTCAAAAATTATTATTCATCAGTAGTGTGAAAGTAGTGTTCAATTTCAATTACAAACATTGTATGAAAATGAAAAATTTACACTGATGTTAGTTACTTACTTAATTGAAATTATTTCCCCCATCATGAAGCACATATTAATCTTCATTAATATGTGCTTCATGATGGGGGAAATAATTTCAATTTAAGAATGTTACAACTCATTATCAAGTCAAATATTTTTCTAATTTTCAGTTGTTTCCTTTCCTTCTTCCTTTATACATTATTAATTTTCTTATTTGTCCAGAAAATAGTTACATATAGTCCTACTATTATATACAAAAACATAGCTAAAAAACTTTCTATAATTAAATGGAATTTATGTATGTATGGATGCTATCTATGAATGAATTGAATAGCTAAGCAGTGTAACCTTATCGTAAAAAATATTATAAAATATATTTCTAGATTATGTGAGTATTTCATAATTTTTATATTCAAATCATTAGTAAAAACGGTAACAGAAAACTGTCTATTAATAATAAATTAAATTCATGTGAGAGAGTTGGTGGAGGTAAAGCTCATTGATTTCTCAGTCAAATTCAATATGCTTTTTACCGCATTATTGAGAATTGATTAGGTTAATTATATTCATCAATGATGATTTCATCATCTCTTCAAATACTTATATCTTTCTCAATGAAATACTCAAAATATGGTGATTGAAAGTTGATCTTATCATATTAGTTAATTAATTTGACTGAGGAAGTATTTATTAGATCCAATGAAACATTGTTAGCTATTGGCCAAATAATCTTTAAATACCAATTAATCAACATGTTCTAACTTTTCATGGTAAATAATACTCTCCAAAAAGTTACTAACTGTTTCTAGATTTTTTTTATCTATTAAATACATGTTTTTTTTAGAATAAATTTAAAAAAATAGAATAAAGTATTTTAGTAATAAATTATTTAAATGCAGCTGACAAATAATAACAATTATACCTGATTAGAAATAGCTAAAGTTTTCATTAGAGGTAACTAATAAAAGAACAAAATAGAAAGTGAATAAAGAATTGTCCAATGAAATATATTCTAGAAAAAACATATAGCATTTCACAGACAATCCCCTTTAAATTGTAGAATCTTTAGAGTATAAGAATATTTCTTTAACGAATAAACATGGAATTCTCAATGGAATAGGAAGATTTATTTTACGGATTCTGATAGGAAAAGAATTTTTAAGACGACTACATACTAAGCACTTTTCTTATGCAAAGTGCCTCTTGAACACTAATCACAGAAATGAGTTCATATTCAGCCTAGAAAACTAAGTAATATAGTGGCAGTAATAAGTAACACAACAGCAAAAAGTAATATTAAATATAATATATATATATATATCAGATGAAAGAAGGATCATTTCAAAGTGGCTTTAATTCCCTACAACCTTTAATCTAATAGTTTCCTTACAGAAAAAGAAAGAAATGTATTTTCCTTCTGAGAAATTTGTAATTTTGTACTAAAATCTTGTTTGCATTTTTTTTTGTGATTACATCTCCAGAGACGAGCAGAATAAAAAAAGTGCCTATTATGAATTTAAAATTTAATTCCTTATCAGAATTTATTTTTTTTTTAAATTGTCCCTTTCCATTAAGCATTTCATAATTAGAGTCAATGCAGGTAGTACGCCTCAAATTAACTTCAGGTTACCCGATCAGGATCCACCAAATTTCATTCCGGTATAATTAACATTTATAGAGATCAGGTTATCTTTGACACTATATTCAACAATGTTTTTACCATTATTATGTAGCTGGACATTTCATGCTAATAATATTTTTGAGGAATAAAAACATAATGCTGTTTTGAATCATGTTGTTTATTTATATATTTAAACTTGAAATCCAGCTATTTTTACTACTTACAAAAATGAAAACACTGTTGTAGCTAAATGATTACATTTTTTTGTATAATAACAAATGGTCCCCTCTAAAGACATTTCATTAATGTAATAAATTTCTTTTACAGCAATAGTAATAAAATTTGTTATAAATAAAATCCTGTTTTATTAAAAAGATGCTTCAGGTCATCAGCAAAAATAGTAATGTAATATAATTTGATTAATTGCTCTACAACATTACAAAAAATATATCAATTTCATCCAGTCTATAATTGAACAGAATAATTTTTGCAATAAGATATCACTGTTAATTATGAATACTTGAATCGAAAAGGGAAATTGGAAATACATTCCAAAAGAGATTATGGATGAACAATGAGACAATTCTTATATTAGATTTTATTTCAAGAGAAGGAAAATAAATTTACAGAATATTAAACAAATTACTTAAAAGTGGAGAAGTTTCCCATTGGAAGCACTCCAGTACATGTTAGATTGTATTTGATATATTTTTATCGTACCAATAAAGTACAAATTTGAACACATATTTATTTATAAGCTTATTTCTTGTTGTCTTGGCTGGATCATTTTACAGTAGCCATCTTGTTAAGGACCTAAAAAAAAAATAATGAAGAAATATATAAAAATTAATATAACAGACTGATTATACTCTCTAAGATTCACAAGATGAAAACTAAATCCAAAACAAAAGGATGTACAGATATATAATAGCTGGTATTTCCAACTTGGCTCACACATATTTTGCAGTAGCATTACTGTTACATTTTGGAATACATATGAAGTAGAAAATATCTGCTTTTATCTAACCATAGAAACAATTAGGAGAATGACAAATAAATCAATATCCATGGATGATTATTCAACTCTGTGTACTATATAATGTGGTATATAAACCTGAAGACACCTAGTCCTCTTAAAACAGATACATTTGTTTGGCTTCAGATAGTAATTATGAAATGATTAAATTAAAAAGTAAAAGACAAACATAAGTAAATAAATTAAAATATTGAAATTATATGTATACACACCCACATTTATACTCTGATAGATATTTATATATAGGTATCTTTGCTTGTTTGAAACAATAGACAATAAAAAAATGAAGTAGCAATAAAATAAAAAGGGGAGATGACATCATTGCCGAGAGGCGCCAAATGTCTAAGGCCGGCACTGGAGATGGATAAATAATTTATATTTTATTGAGGTTAAAGATCAGATTTTATGGATGGAGATAAATTAGAAATTCCAAAATGAGGTAGCACGGATGGTACAAGTTGCTGATTTGGGATCTTGTGTTTAAAGAGTGGAAAGAAGAACATGGGGTGAATGGATTGAGGATGTAAAGAGATTTTTGATTCTAAAGGATCAAAATTAAACAATTTAAGCTGGGATAGACTATATAAATGACGATAAAACCTGATTGATATTAAATACCATTTAATGTTACATCATTATTAGGAGTTTAGTCAAAATCGTTCAGAGCCATTTTTGCTAAAATGGTAAACATGTGTAAAATTGATGATATAAAGTGAAACTTTTAGTAAGTCAATTTTCATGAAAAAGTTGCTGTAATACTCCATGCATATACCTAACTAATATGAATAATTTAAGTCAGTAATTTTAGTGTTGCAAGTATTTTGAACTATTCTATTCATATACAAACACACCTTTTTGTGGGAATAGGTTATCTGGACTCAAGTAGACCTTGAAACATGTATTTCCATTTTAAACTCAGATTCACAATCACAATACTTTTCCTTATTATATATTTCATATATAAGTAAGTGAAAATAAAAATTGAATGTTCTACTTAACAGGAAATACAATTTTTTAGTGGATTAGTAATTTTTCATATTCTTAAAATTCCTATTATTTTATTTTTTTTGGGTGGGAAGGAGAGAATAAAGATCAAATTAATTAATATAACTACTGTAGTAGAGGTACTATTTATTAGTTCACTGCTGATTTCGACAATTGCTGCCCTTGTCATTGACTAAGAACCAACGAGAATGTTAACTGAGGAGAGCCTCGCTAAATCATGGAAGTGTAAACCTCTACATGGAAGATTTTACAATTCCTTGAAAACATCTGGCATCAATTTAGAAAAATCGGTCAGCTGGTTAACAAGAGGAAAATGTTCCCAGAGACTGGGAAACCACAAAGTCATGGGAACATATTTTTAACAGGAAGCTTATTTTACATGAAGCAGTCAATGACGTGCCATCTGAGTAAAGTCACAAATGAATCAATACAGCAATGTAACCTCTGGCTACCAGGCATTAGCGTGTAAAGAATACCTTGCGAAGCACAATAATGCTGCAAAAATCGTACATCAGTGGCTCAAAAATATAAATTAATAACTGGCCAGTTATTATACCAGCCTTTTTATAGATACCAGCCCTCATTATCAAAGTTGGAGTTCCTGCTGATGATAATGTAGCTAAATTTCCAGATTTACTCACTGCCAAGAGCTAGGCAAATAGCATCGAGGATACTTGTTGGTATAAGATCTTCTTTCATGGCTAAGTTCCAAGTTAAAAAAGAAATGGATGCAAATGATAAATTGGAAGGGGTGGAAATAAATCTATGGTCAAGCAATCTCCACCATCAAATATTTGTGGTTTACAACCCACCTAATAATAAACCGAATTTGAGTTGGCTGGAAAACTCATTGACTGATAGATCCCTTGTGTATGGAGACTTCAACGCACACTCCAGACGATGGAGTTACGCAAATTCAAATTCAGCCGGAGAAATTATGGAGGAATTTATTGACACAAATATGATAGAATTTGTAGAAAACGAATGTTCAAAGCCTACTTTTATGGATTATAAAGGTAACAGCACCCACCCTGATCTATTATTAGTGCACCCCCAAATAGCTCCGCTGATTTCCCACACAGTTGCCCCTCCACCTGGAGCATTTGGTCACAAAATAATGCTTGCATACCTTAGTGGCCACTCAAATTCAAGTAATAATTCAGTACCTCAAATGCTCAGATGGAATTTAAAAAAGGCCGATTGGAAAAAGTTCTCGCAAATCACTCACACAGCCATTACTCCTGAAACCATTACGGAGAGTGTATATACAAGCTGTGCATGACTTCAAGCAGCAATTCTCGAGTGTGCAAAGCGGTTCTGGAGTGATAATCTACAAAAACTAAAAGAAAGTAGGGATGCAGCAAGAAAAGATGCAGAAAGGTCAAGAAAAATGGAAGACATTGTTAGGCTAAGACAACTTACAACAAACTTAAAGTTGAATATAATTCAAGTGAAAAGAAAGACTTTTAGAGAATATTTAGCTAGTTTGGACTTTCGTCGAGATGGGATAAAAGCACATCAATTCATCTCAAAGCTAAATGGGGGAAAAGACCCAAGGAACAACCCTCTTAAGTTTAATAACAAGGAGATATTTTCTGGACTTGCCATAGCAAGGAGCTTCTGTAAATTCTTTGCCAGCGCATCTAACTATAAACGAGCAGAAGAAAATAAGAGAATTAATACCGCACCACCAATCTTATGTTTTAACCTTTCTGAAAGCCAACTTTTTGAAGACGACTTTAGTAAGGAAGAGCTTGAACTTGCACTGGCACAAACAAAGAAGGGAAAAAGCGGTGGCCCTGATGACATATTGCCAGAGTTCCTTATACACCTAGATGCGAAAGCTAAGCTCATAGTGCTGAATTTTATCAATGCTGTCTGGACATCATGATATCCTTGTACCTGGAGGAAGGCTGAGGTGATCGCAATTCTCAAAAAAGGCAAATGTTCCTCTTGTCCATCTAACTACCAACCTATCTTGCTCACAAGTGTTTTCTCTAAGCTCTATGAGAGAATGGTCTTAGCCCGGCTGCAGATATATTTAGATAGGGAAAATAACATGTCGTCAAAACAAGCAGGTTTCCGAAGGCACCGGTGTACAACTGAGCAGGTGGCTCGTTTTAGTGAGGATGTAAAAGATGGATTCCAACGGAAACAGCTTACACTTGCAGTATATGTTGATTTCAAAGCTGCTTTCTACAAAGTTTGCCGTAAAGTCCTTCTGAAAAAGCTCCTCAAAATGAATATTGGTGGAAAAATGTACAGAGCCATACGGTCCTTTTTGGCCAAGAGATTTCTCCGAGTAAAACACAATGGCTGGTTTTCAAGCTTCAGATCTTTTACACAGGGACTTCCCCAAGGATCCGTTCTGAGCCCCACACTTTTTAATATAATGATCGATGACTTAGTGGCTGTGCTCGAGGGAATACCCGGAATATCTGCTCTATTGTTTGCTGGTGATCTAATAATATATGCTACTAGTAGCAGAATAACAGCACTTGAAGCAGCAATTAATGAGGCAATGACAAGACTTTTTACCTGGACCATATCAAATGAAATGGAAGTAAACACCCAGAAAACGGACTTTCAACTGTTCACGTTACCAACCAAAGTGCACGAGCTGGAAGTCATTTATAATAATGTTCCCTTGCCAAGAACCCCTCCACAGTAGAACCCCTCCGAAACGGCGTGAGTAAGCTGCAATGTGTCTTCACGAGCGAATGAGAAGAACAAATCCAGAGTTTTGGAAAAAATACAAAATCCAAACTCAACGGCTCAAGATCCAAAAATCATTCATGCTAAAGGCGAAGGCTTTGCTTGAAGAAAGAGAGCTGGACTGTGAAGAAAGGGAGCCATTTATACAGGCACAGTTCCCAATCCACAACCACGCAAGCAGGGCAGAGTTGCAACTTCTCCATAAGGTGGATAAAAAATAAACAACAGAATATGAGCTAAAAGCGATAGCACTGGAAACTATAGCTCAAAAGTACCCATCTCAGGATTGGCTTCACATTTGTACCCACGGATCAGCTGAATCAGCCGTTAAAAATGCTGGGGCAGGAGTTTACTCGAGAGTTTCAGGTCAGTGCTGCGGTGGGTGAGAATGGTACGAATTTTGATGGTGAGATAGCAGTGATCGTCATAGCTCTAAGAATACTATCAGGAAGGCAAGTTCAGAACGCTGTTCTCTTTGTCGACTTCCAAGCAGCAATCCTCGCCATTACTGACGTGAATAATTGTATGTCGAGTGCTATCTTGGAGTGCAAACCCCATCTCTACGATCTAACAGTCCGAGACACCAATGTAGTCCTACAGTGGATTCCGAGCCATTGCGGTATTCCAGGAAATGAAGAAGCGGATAGTCTCGCCAGGAGGGGAGCAGAATTGCCACAAACAGTCCATCCAAAATCCTACGATTCAATTCGGCGAATGGTGAGGATGATAGTGAAGGAGGAAACAAAAAATATGCACAAAGACAAGGTGGAAGGGAGACGTTATGGATGTTTGGTGGAAAACCCGATCCCAGCAGACCTACCAAGAAGAGATGCAGTAGCCTGCTTCCGCCTGGCCACTGGTCACGACTATCTACAAAGTCATCTCCACAAGATAGGCGTGGCTGAGGATCCTAGGTGTAAATTATGTGAACAAGCGGAAATGGATGCAGACCACCTAAACGAATGTCCTGCTTTGACGGATATTAAGAATCAAACATATGTAAATGATTATATAAAAAAATCAAATTTATATTGGGCAGGAAGATGTCGGATGGTCG